ACAGATATCTGAATGGCTCCGAGAGATGGAGAGGACTGAAACAGCAATACCCTGAAGCAGCAACTGCCTGAGCTTTGCTTTAAGGCAAAAGTTTGTCTCTTTGAGTTAGGTGAGGTGACACCATTTACCCCACCTAGGAGGGAAAATGCCCTGTCACTGCCTGGGGCAGGTGGGGTCCCTCAGGGCAGCGTGAAGCACCCCCTGACTATTCCCACAGGTAAAACTCCCTGCCTCAGTCTTGCTGAGAGTTGGGGGGAGCAGGGCTTGCTCCTGCCAGCGCTGTGCACAGAGACCACTTCACGGTGGAGACAAGGCTCAGGGCAGCGATGCAATGGAGGGATGCTTCTCCCACCAGTGCTGCTCGCTGCTCCCAGTGACTGTCCCTCCCAGGGTGAGAAGCACGGGACATCAACCCAAAAGCAGGGTCCAAAATGATAGGGACAGGCTGAGGAGGACAAATCCAGTCCCTGCTCCCCCTTTGGTACTAAAGCATTTTGTGTCATTCAGGAGTAGTGCACCCACAGGAATTTGTATAGAAAGAAATTAAATTTCCGTACTTTGAGTAGCAATAGGAAATAAAATACCATTTGTATGGTGTTTCCTACACTCACTCCTACATCCATAAGTCATTCTTGCGAGAAATTTACCAGCCTAAACATCTCAATTTCCCCCCTACTTTTTCCCTGATTGTTGCCCTATTTTCCATCCAGAGTAAAGCTACTTCCCAGAAGGAGGGCTCCATATCGCTGCCGGTACGGCTGCTCTTCCGGCAGCCCGCCACACGGCTCTGCACGCATGCTGATGGTAACACCTGGGGAGTTTCTGAACTCTCTGTGCACTACACAGAGTTTTTCATACAGATGAAATTTTGTTTTCCCTCTCATATGCCTGGGAAGACTTGTGCTGAGGCGTTCCAAATTACTTAGCTCCGCGTCAAACGAAACATATTAGCTCCGTCACTTCCCAGCGGCTGATTCATGTGGAAGAAAATCCGTCTATTACTATTAACAGCCAGGAGGTGCTTTTCAGAGCAAGCCGTAGGAGCTGATGTTCATATTGTTAAAAGCCATGGGTTAAAGTCCCGTTGGTGACCTGTCACTGGGACATGCACTGAATTGTGGAAAATTATAATAAAAAAGTATGTTTTTCAGAATACAATGAACAACTACAAAAAGAGGTTTCAAATGAAAGTTTCTTTGTAAGCCTCACAGTAGCATTCACTACTTCTAATATCTACAACTTATACCCAGGAGCCTGCACACTCACATATTTTCTGTTTTATACCCTAAAAAAAAAAGAGAAATTGAGTATATATTGGCTAACACCCACACAGCATTCTTCCTAATGTATTTCTACAACTACCAAGCAGAGGTCTCCTTGTAAATAAAAGCAGTCTCTTAAATTTATATTGCACTTTTCTTCTGCAGGGACTTTCATACTATGTACAGGAATAATCTCCACCATCACTGAAATGCAGCCACTTCTGGAGTGGAATAAAGCAGCTACTCGATAGGCACACAGCAACATAAAACACCAGGAAGAGAAACATAATGTACCCAGTTGGGACTGCAACAGATATTTAAGAAGACAGTCTGTAATTAAGTTTAAGGACTGTAATTTAGCCAGAACACTGTGAAAAGCAAGAGGGGATCTTTAATTGCAAGGGGTAAGGAGCATGGCTTTGTATGTCACCTGGGATGCATTGCCTCTGCAAGGAGAATTGCCCCCTCAAGCACAGGGTAGTGAACCGCCATGCCCTCAGAGAGGGGGGACACTGCCTCCCCCCACCCCATCATGGCACAGCTTCTCCTCCTTGCTGCTGAAGTGTCTCTTTCCTCTCCTATGTTCTCTCAGCGCATCTGCCAGGGAAATGAGGTCCTTCCTTTCGTCCTTGGTGCTTCTGACAACCGGAGGCACTTGGGTTAATGACTTTCCCCCAAACTCACCACCAGCTGCTTTCTAGCTGGGGACAAAGGAGCAGAGGTTGAAGTGGGAAGGGGCTCCCTGAGACGTTTACTGAAGCTGGTGGGCCCACACCTGACAGCAGGAGAAGGCTTCCACTCTGGCTGGGGTGACCTGCTTGCTCTGCCCTGCACCCACTGCCACCAGTGGGCTTCTTGCCTCCTGAGCCATGGAACAGCGTGGGGGGGCACTTGCGTCCTCCCTTGCAGCAGGGTACGGACAACCTCCTTGCAGGTGTCCCTTTCTAAAACTGTGGTGCCCCCTTTGCTGGCCTCACAGATAACCCTTTGTGATCCCGAACCTTCCCGCTGCGCCTCTCCAGCCCAACAGCAAACGTGCCTGTGCAACCCTGGCTAAGCAGCCAGGTGAAGCAAGACCACAGTGGTCTCTGCCTTAGAGAGCCTACGAGGTGAGGTGGATGCCTTGGGCCATCTCCTGTCCATGGGGAAATGCTCCGGTCTCCACTCCCTGCCCAGGAGCAGCCCCTTGGAACCAGCAACAGAACACAAATGCTTTTTCGCTCACAGATCATGACCCAAGGGCCCTGGAACACACCACCTCTCTCCTAGCTGTGAAAGCAGACTCTTACCAGGAGGGGAGGGATGACTTCTGACCTCCAACGAGCACAGAGGGAAGGAAGAACATCAGACTGAAAGAGCTCAGCCAAAAGATGGTGGTGGCATCCACTGCCCATGAATATGGCAACAGCCAACAAGAAGCAGAATCGCTCTTGGCACCCACAGCATCCCACAGGACTGGGAAACAGCTGCAGGTATACTGGTAAAATACGCAGTGGGACTGAGGTCTGGATCTGGAGGGAGGAGTGGAGACAGAAAAGACACAATCCTCGTTCTTGGAAGTGGAGAAAAGCAACAGGAGCAAAGGAGACCCATATTATCCCGTCACTGCCTTGTGAGATCCTGCCTCCTTGGTCCCTCAGAGCTGATGTCCCTCTCTCTCTGATGGTGGCCAGGGAGCATTAGTGCAGGTGAATGCTCTTCCAGGAGCTAGGCAGAGCTGGGTTTCAAGGCTTCAAGATGGATCTCTTGGGAGTTAAGTAGAAGCTTTCCCTGTCCGTCACTGAAGGAAATGATGTACCAGCTGTTGCTGGAAGCTAAGCAATGCAGGAGGCGGCTAATACATTCAGGGGATTTTAGACAAACACAGTTTTGTTAGAGGGGCTGATATATTCATCGGAAATGGGGAAGGAGCCATGGGACCCTGGGGAGAGAGCCAGCTCATCATACATCTGTGGTACCCCAAATATGGATTTTGGATGGGGTGTCCCTTAGGGAGAAGAGTCCCACGTAACTGAACTGCCAGAGCATGGGATAGTAAATCCCAGTCTGGCGGGGCTCATTCTGCCCCGTGCAGGGGAAAGAGCTGCTTCCAGTTGCAAGAAGGCAATCACGGCTCCTGCTTGGCTGGTACAGGGCAGGCCCCTCTCCTGGGGGGGTCACCTGGAGCAGCACGTGCCCCTACCCTGAGGAGGTCAGGCCAGACCTGCTGCAGGTCTGCACCAGAGAGAACCAGCCTTACACTTTCATGATGCCAGCAGGAAAGAGGTGAAGCTCCCCCATCCCTGTCTGTCCTCCTGTTCTTAAGTGGCAAACAGGGTCACAGTTCAGCACAAACCCTTTTTTGGGACAAGCTTCCTACCTCCATCCTTCCTGGGGCACTTCCCTGCATGTTCTACCTCTCAGCTCCTCTGCCCACTGGCTACTTCGGCAGTGGAAGCCTGTGAGATCGCACATGCTGACCAAATTCAGCTGCCTCTCCCCTGAGCAGCCGTGCTCTTCGCCCCCTCTGCAGCTAACGCACTGCTGGGAGGCGAGAGGGCAGTCTCGGAGCTGCCTGAATGGAGGGCCCAGGGGCTGGGTCATGGGTCCAGCTGAAGAAGGTTTAAATGTCTGACTCTTCCTGTAATCCAAAAAGCTTGAGGTGAGGGAAGTGGAATGGAATAAAAGACCAAAACAAGCTGGTAACAGAAGAGAGGCAGAGAAGCAATCCTAGGCTTAGGGCTGAGCCGACTGTCATCCCGGCCTTCACAGCGGGAAGGCAATCCGCAACTGCTCCCCCCTTCCCATCCCACCACGCCCCATCCCTCAGCCCCACAGAGACACCTTTCTGTCTGCAGCCCAGACCTGCTCTCGCAGTTTCTCCACCCAGCCAGAGTGCTGAGAGAGAGAAAGAGGCGCTCAGAGGCTGACGCCGCAGCTGGATCCAGCCGGCACTTCTCCACCACTCAGCGTGGTCCACGTGACGGGTCCGTTCCTGCTCCATCTTCTTCAGGCTGGCAGGTGAGAAGCACAGGGTGGTGGGGAAAGGCCAAAGCAAACCACACGGGGCAATTAAATACATGAGAGCCTGGAAGATGCAGATGGATGGAGACACTGAAGCATCTGCAGTGCGAGGCAGGATGCTCTGGCCACTGGCACGCGGGGCGGCTGCTGCCCCATGGTCAAGGCCAGCGTCACTGCAGGGAGCTGCAGCCGGAGTGGGGCAGCCCCAGCCAGTGGGAAAGCATGGGGAGACAAGGGGAGTACTGCGGTATTTCATCCACTAAGCTGTGGGCTCTGCAGTAAAGAAGGTAACTGTTCTGGTAGAAATTTGTGCTTTAATATATTTTTGTTTGCTTGTTTAAAACAAGTTCCCACTTCCCTGAGGAAGCCCTGTCCGACATTCCCAAGGAAACATGGGGGTGTTTTTTTCCTCCTTCATTTGCTCTTCACATTTCTTCATTCCTATTTGTCTTTCATTCCTTCTTTTCTGTGTGTTTGTTTCTTTCCTTCCTTCCTCTCTCTCTCACGCTCTCTCTCGTGCACGTGCTTTTAAAAAATTGTTGTTTTATTTTTAGATCTTGTTCCAGACATTATGACTTTCTCGAGGAGTGCTCCAGTTCTGAACCAGATCCCTTTGCGTGGTCAGGCCTATCAGTCTTTGGTAACATACAGACACTTTGGTGTGTCAGTGAGGAGGGGAGGAAGAGGAGCAGAGGTGGCTGAGTAGGAAAGGAGCAGG